ATGGCCCGGGATGTCCCAGGGTGTCCTGGCCTCCCCGGGCTTCCAGGCGCGCTGCGTCAGTTCTCACAACGCCGGGCGGTATTTCTGTACGTTAACCTGGTTTGCACGAAGCAGGGAGCTCCTGGTGACCCTCCAAAAGCTCCCCGGTCATCAAAAGTTTACACTGTTTGCACATTTTAACAGAGGTATCAGCAATCATTGGTCACAAATGGTACCACTTCTGTGTGGATTAGTCCTCAGACCCCACTCCGAACCTCTCTAGCTGGGAGAGGTTTGGGCCTCCTGTGGGGTGACAAGTGCCCTGTGGTGGGGTTAAATGGGATCTGTGCCTGCTGTGGGGTGACAAGTGCCCTGCCAAGGGTTAAATGGGATCTGTGCCTGCTGTGGGGTGACAAGTGCCCTGCACTGGGGTTAAACGGATCCAGCAGCTGGAAAACACACCTGTGATCCAGGTGCTTTTCTAACCTTGATTTTTGGAATCTGAATTTTCCAATCACCACCTGTGGCCACCATGATGACGTTGTTCCCCTGTGTGACTTCACAAATTGATAACTATTCTCTCATATGATGATTATTAGTTTATTTCACAGACATCTATGGTCATAATTTCACGTAGAAATTATTTCTGTAGGGTAAGGAAGGGAATCATTTGTCAGACCACTTAGATCAGTTGGATGTGGTTTCTGTTCAGGAAATATATCTTTGCTCACCTTGCTGTGCTAAACAATGAGCTGTTTGAATATTTCTGGGGTGATTGGCCTATTATTCCTATTTTGCCATTTTCATATTTTCCCTTGGTAATACGTTGCCATTTTCAGTGTCCTGACTTCAGTAATTTAACTTTGCCCTTCTTGAGCTTGGACACTGACTTGTCCCCCAAAGCAGGAGGGACCTCACTGCTCCAGTGCTTGTTCCTCTGACAAAGGTAAAATCCAAATGTAAGTGACTGAAGCACAGAGTTGCTTCCTCAGCAGTTGCTCAGTCATGGGTTGTCCCAGAGATGGAAAATAAAAAGCATGGAAGCCATCCCAAATACGTGTGTGTTCTTTACTAAAAGTTCTGTATAAGATCAGTATGCTAAAAATTGAAGCAGAAGAGATGGCTACAGAAATACAGGGTTGTTATCATGTAGCAAGAAATAGCATGTCCAGTTTTCTTTCTGATTTTACCCATGTAATAAAACAAAGGCCTGTGTTAAACCTGGGTTTTAGCACTGGTATTAGAATTATGCAAGGGCTTAGGATAATATCTGATAGCAGGAAATTAATTTCTCAAGAGCAACATCACTCTGCCAACGTTGCTTAGATTTATCCAAGATCTGCAATATATTCAAGAAATGAAAGCATGTCCTTACTGCATCATTACAAGGAATTTCAACACCTGCAGTAGTAGCACCAGAAGCTGTTGGAGCAGCTTCAAAGCTGCAAACGTCTCTCTATAGTGTTTTACAGCTAATTTTTTTCTTTCTAGTGCTATCTGTCTGGATTTATAAGCTTCCCCCCTCCACCCAGCTTTGTTGGATTTCACTCAGTTGAACAAGATTAACAAGAGCAGAAAATGCTCAACCACTCCTGCAAGTGATGGTGGTTAGATAGCACAGAAGGAAGCACACTCTGCCTTCAATTCACAGTTTGTTTTTTAATTATACATGTTTGTAATGAACCACATAACCCAGGTATTCAGCGGTAACTCAGAAAAATGCTACAGTTGGGTGTGGATGTTTTGGTTGGCTCCCATAGCCATGTGACAGCACAGCTGGGATTGTTTGGATTATTCTGTGGTAACAGGATGACAGGATTTTATGGAGTGCTCCACGCCACCAGAGGGAGCAGGCAGATGTGTGTAAGAAATGCTGCCAAACCCAGAGCACAGTGCCAGGGACACTTCACTGTTACTGAAGGAAGAATGAAAGACTTGGATTAGTTTTCTACAATTTTACAATGCATTGCTACCATGAGGTAATACGTAAATCTCCCATTCTCATCAGAAGTCTACTTAAAGTCAGCTTGTTTTGTAAATCACAGTTACAGAGTTGGTGGAAGGGCAGGAAATTCCTGTTAGAAAGGTGAAAAGCCAAACCAAAGGGTTTCCCACTGTGCAGAGAAACTGAGCATCAGTAACGGGGCAGGGACTTGTCTGCCACGTGTGAAAAGCCCTCTGTGCCTGTCTGCAGAGGAGCCTGCAGCTTGGTCATGTTACTTGGATGAACTTCACTTTCAGGGGAAAAAACCCCCTTTCCCTTCTGATGTGGGTTTATTAGATTCCCCAGCCCTCCCCAAGAGCAGCCTGACGGAAGCAGGTCCCAGAGCCTGGCCCTGGTGCGGGGCAGGAACAGCTCTGCCGGAGCCGCAGGCAGACCCAGCCCTGAAAGCCAATCCCATTCTGCACAGACCACCCCGTGCTTCCCCCTCTGCTGACTGCCCTGCCAGTAAACCTGGCTGCGGCACTGCTGTGCATCTCTGCCCCCTCTGAGGTGGGGCACAGGGTTGTTTCTCTCATTGCAGGGTGCTTTGCATTCCACCAAACTGTTGAAATGAATACTTTATGGAGAGGATCAGTTCTCTTGTGTTAAAAACACAAATGTGAAATAGAGCCTTACCTTCCAGAAACGCCTGCCAGCAGTTCTGCAGTGCAAAATGGTGAGGTTTTGTTCTTTTGGGTATAGTATACAGAGAATATGGAAAATCTTGCTGAACTGCAAAAGAATTGTCTCATTTTAGCAAAATACATATTTACTGTCATCTACTTAGCAAAAAATGCATGCTTACCTTACATCTCATCATGTGCATATGACTCAGTAATGGTATAATTTATATAGCAGTAAGAACCATATAATTGCTTCCTCATCTAAGTATTAATTATAATTGTGTCAATCTTTGGAGTGTTGAATGATGATTACAGTTGAAAATTATTCAGTATTTACAGAAAATCCAAGTGCAATTTTAATAATTTGGATGCTGCTTCCTTTTAAACACCATTATATATACTCAGCTTTACATATCCTTTAGTGGGGATAGAAAATGAAGTCTATTTTCTCAGTGTAAAAAACTTTTTTTTTTTTTTTTTTTAGTGAAAATGCCTCTGAGAAATTTCCTGGAGATGAGCCTGTGATAACTCTGCTCTCCTGCCACAGCTCCTTGGCTCCTGTCCCTGGTCCCAGATGGAGCCCAGGCTTGTGGGTGCCCCAAGGGCTGGCTGGAGCTCCATCCCTGCTGTTGATATGCTGGCAGTCAGTTCTGCTTCCTGCTAGCACCCAGACTCACCCTGGGGTTTTCCATTAGATACAGAACTTAAAAATTACTTAAACATGCAGAGTGCATTTCCTGCAGAAACACATTTCAAAACAACAAAGCAAAGAAGTTTTCCAGGGGAAAGTCCCAAGGAAAGCACAGGGTTGAGCTCTCCTTGCCTTCTTGTGGGTTGTGTGTCCTAGGCCAGACACACAGAAGCTTTCAGATGACGAATGGGACAATTTCAGATGAGGAATGGGACTTTCCAGCAGAAGTGAACAACAGGATCCTAACTCTGTTTCGTTTCAGGCAATAAACAGAAACCTCCTTGGCCGTCTGCTGTTGGATGTCAGGACTGGCCTCTAGTCTGAATCTTGCAGCATTTTTTTTGCTGGGCCACACAAATGAAGTGGGGGAAGCAGATCTTCCTGTCCCACGCTGGATCCTCCCCAGCCGGGGTGAGCAGACTGAAGCTCGGGGGATACCTTGTGTTTCAAACACAGATCCAGCCCTGGGAGCTGTGCCCAGCAGTGCCAGGGCTTGGCCAGTGGCTCCCGGGAAGGGAAAAGGAGCAAGGGGTGCCCATGAGGGGCTGGGTGCCCGCTGCCCTGCCCGCCTCACAGCCAGTGCCCGTTCTGGGAGCCCCTCGGTGCCACCCTTGGTCTCCTCTGGCCGGGCTGGTGCAGGGGGGCTCCGGCGAGTGCAGCCCGGGCCCGCCCTGGGGACAAGGCCCAGCTGTGCCTGAGCTGAGCTCCCACTGCCCTGGCACACCGGCTGGGGACCCACGGACTGCCATCCCAGTGTCCTGGGCTCACTCACTCACTGGGATATGAACTCACTGGGTTCCTTTTCCTGGTCTCTTCTCTAAAGCTGGGAACGCTCCGAGACCCCTGAGGCTCTGTTACTGTGCCCAGCCCAGCGTCTCTGCCCGCATCGCACTCGCACAGCTCCCAGAGGTCACTGTGGCCACACGGGAACACCCGCGCTCCTTATGGAGAAAGATACTGGCCTGTGCCTGGAAATGCAGCCGTGAGGGGGAGCCGGCCTGCAGCATCCTCTAGGACTGCTGTGCCTTCCCTCGGCTGCAGCAAGCCCGTGAAGGACGCGCGGCTCCAGCCTGCACAGCTGAGCTGCAGCTCGGGCCGGTAAAGCGGCTGCACTGTGGGGCCCGCTGCCTCCTCCAGCGCCTCTGGATGGTGTCTTTTGAGGAAGACTTGCAACAGGCTTTGCAATGGCTTGGAAAGCCTGGCACCAAAGGAATAATGTGAATATTAAAATATGATTATTTTTTCTTTGGTTCTACATGGTACTGATAATATTTTTTTTTTGGCAGTGCTTTGCCTACTGAAACACACAGACAAAGAGTTATTTAAAAATGCTTTGTTGTCAATACACTGAATGAGCTGTACTAGTGACACCTACAATGACAACAAAAGACTCTTCTTTTCCCTTCTGTTCTAAAACATGCAAAGTATCATAAAATCAACAAGTAGGCTTGACTGGATAACATTTATCTTCATTATGAGTGGCTAATTTCAATGGGTTCTGCAATGCTTCAGAAAGGTCAGATGCACTGCTTGTCTCTGCTGCTCTTTTATGCTGACTGATGCCATGGAACACTTTGAAGCACAAACAGGGAAATTTACATAAACTTGCAAAATTCACTGTAAAAAAACAAAACAAAACAAAAAACCCCATTGTCTCCCTGTTTAAAGATATAAAATTGGTAAAACTTCCAGAGGTTTTATTCTCCGCGCTCCCCGGCCGCGCTCAGAGGCCGCCGTCCCGCGCGGAGCCGCCCCCGCCCCGGGCGATCACGGCGAGGCCGGGGCCGGGCTGCTGCTGCTGCTCCCGCGGCCTGCCTGCGGCGTGTGCGGCCCGCCCGGCGCTGCCAGCGGCTGCTCCGTCCTCTGGGCTGAGGCAGATGGTTCTAGGTGTTCCATTTCTTTGGCAAGGGTCCGTAAGGGAATATGGGGGGGGATCGTCTGTGGGAATATATATTTGTGTTGCTCCTGGCCCCACACATTCGTCATAGCTGAAAGAAAAAATGAAATACTCATTAAATTCCTGGAAAAAAAAACTTGCAAAATTCACTGTAAAAAAACAAAACAAAACTAAAAACCCCATTGTCTCCCTGTTTAAAGATATAAAATTGGTAAAACTTCCAGAGATTTTATTCTCCTATTGGTGCGAGTTCTTCAGAAGAATGGAAGGGAAGGGCCAGTTCCGCGGCCGGCTGCGATGGCGGCGGCAGAGGCGGCCCGCTCGGCTGCGGCGGGCCGCGCTCCCGGGCCACGCTGAGGCCGCACTCACAGGCCGTGCTCCAAAAAAAAATGCCACAGTACATTACTTCAGCATAACAGAGGCAAGTAAAGTGGGAAAAAAAAAGTGTGTGTGGTGTTTTGTTGCTCAGCCCACATCCTTGCTGAGCCTGCCGCGTGTGACACTCGAGAATGTAGCACTTAAACCACGCACAGATAATCGCAGAGGGGCACAGTCACATAAGTGCGGTGCAGGCAGGGCTCATGCCTGCTCTCTCCTGCCTGTGAGAGCCAGCTTGGAAAAGCCAGCGCGGAGAGGAAGTGGTGTTGCTGTTTCAGTAGTGGAGGGAGGCATGGAGAGCTGCGGTGCAGTCTCCAGCAGACATCTCTGTGCTGCCCTGGCTGCAGCCTCTGGGGCTCAGCCAGCAGCCCTGGCTGGGAGCTGAGTGCTGCCAGGGCTGGATAACCTGGACACACTGGGGCTGGTCCCTCTGGCACTGGGCACAGTGCCTGTTGTGTTCCTCCAAAGAGCAGGAACAGGCCAGGTGGACTGGGGGGTTCCATGGGGGGCAGCCAGGCTCTGTGCTTCTGCCTGTGCCACCGGGCTCAGCCAGGGAAATGTGCTCTCCTCGCTCTGCCCTGTGCTCCCTGGCTACAGGCAACAGCCCGAAAGAGTCACAACATCATGATCTTAAATGTTAGACCTGCTTTGTGGCTGCTGTTTAACCATTCCAGCACCATTTTAACTCCAATCCTGTAGAAGGAAATGTTTCCTATTAAAAAAAAAACCCAAAAAAACCCCAAAAACCCTTTCTCTACTAAGCTAACCTGAAAAACATATCTGCTGCAGCCAGACAAATTAAGAACCTATTTCCTCAGCCACACTAATTGCAGAGCAATTAAGATCTGGGATATTTCCTGAAAATTGGGATATTAAGCATGTATCTTCTCAGCAGACTGTAGGCACACACTGTACCTGTGTTACTGCCAGGCTACACCAAGCTCCCCCTGAAAATTGGGATATTAAGCATGTATCTTCTCAGCAGACTGTAGGCACACACTGCCCCTGTACCTGTGTTACTGCCAGGCTACACCAAGCTCCCAAAGCCCAGTCTGGGTTCTTGGGAAGGGAGAAGTAAAAAACTGAAATCAGAGTGCTACATAACTAAATTCAAATATCCATGGGTATTTTTATTTTTACCTCCATTTCATCTTACTTTTATATTCGTCAGGACACTGGCTTTAAATTCAGACTAGAAAATTTCAATTTCCCCATCAGAAAATAATATTTAAGAACCCAAGTCTGTTCTCAAAACCCTGAATAGGGCTGCTAGATATTTCAGAAAAGTCCCAACATATTAGGAAGTAGAACTGGGTTTTTTTTTTTGGTTTTTTTTTTTTACAGCATGTGGAAAAGATGTCACTCCAGCCTCTACTGAACACACTGAAGCTTTCAAACATACATGGTAGTCTTTGAAAAGTTCTTAGACCTCTGTCAGAGACTTAGGATGTGCTGTCCTCCACTCTCCTTGAGATCCATGAGGGTAAAGAAACAGCCACTTCTTGCAGGATTCCTATGAGCTGCATCTTTACTCTAATTTACATTTTGCTGACCCAAAGCCTGGTGAATTTATTTAAAATCTCTCCTCTGGTTTTGACTGACTTAATCAGGCTAATAGAGAGCACTTACTGGCCCTATTAGCACAGGGGAAAAGTTTCCATTCAGAAAATTCACAGCAATGGGAGTTTCAAGGGGGAAAATTTGGAATCCTTCTGCCAAGGAACAAAAGGGAAGAAGCTTCTCTGTCTCCTCCTTCTGGGAAATCTGCCAGTGACCTAAAGGAGAAATGGGCACAGTGGGAGCTGTTTCTTGCTGCTGTTACCTGATCATCTGCAGATGATTCCTCTGCCTTGGGTTTAATTTAATGCCTTTCCTGGACCACAGGCCAGCTTTGTAGAACTGAACTGCTGGCTGAGATAAACAGGGAAAAGATCCCTTAGGAAGGAAACTTTGAAGGGTTAAGTAAATGGTGGGAGTTATGGTATTGAGGAGTTGGCATTTTAATGTTTAGTTCCAAGTATCAATATATTTGTGTTGGGGCATTTTATCCTTCATACATAGGATGAAAATAATTCTCTCTTTTTCTCCAAAAGCAAGTAATGTTCTTCCCCCTCATTTTTGGCAATTAAGATCACATTTTAAAAATTGAGTGAGGTAGTAAAAAACACATGCCAGGCTTTCAATTAAACAGCTTTTTGGCAGCTTCACAGCTGTGCCTACAGATTGTTGTGGCCATGGAGAGAATTACAAATAATTCAAATAGTTGCAGGTTTTGGTTTTTTTTTAATAACTTTTTGTATTTCATATTCATATACTGTCATTTTAAAACACAGCCAAACCTTGATCCCCAGTCTGGAGCTAAACAGGCAAAAAGATTTGGGGGGGAGGTTGGGAGGTTTGTTCTGTTTTGGTTTTTTACTTGGTATTTTATGTGTGAGTTTTTTCTGGGCCAGATTTCTCCTGGTTTGGCTGCCTCAGTCAGAAGCTCCCAGTTTAACTGGGGGGCACCAGGAACACCAGGGAAATGGAAATGGGACAGACAGAGGAAGAGGGGAGGTCTGACACTGCAGCTCACAAATCATCAAATTACAACCTCAGGAACTGCTAAGGGAGTGATACCCACAAAGGGGTGTGCAGTATGTGTGTGTACATACATATGTGTGTGTACAGCTATATTTATCTATTTCTATATATATATTTACATATATATATGTTTTGCAACTGAAAATGCAGGACCACAAAGTGGAAAACCAAAAATACTTGTTCATCTTTTACAAAACCCACCACAATAGTTCTATTTTATCTGTCAGATTCACTTCTGTGAAGATATTGGACATGTAAAAAGTAGCTCAGGCTTGACATTCACTACAGCAGTCACAGGAGAATCCTTTTAGACAGGAAAGCAAATGCTTTTGGAAAGTGTTGTGTTACCATAACATAAATAATGGAGCACAGGAACTCATTACATTGCATCTTGTGGATACCAGCCCTGAAAAAATCCTTGGCTGCAGTACTTGTAGTGAATCCACTTTAATCCACTGCTTGCTAAAACTTGTGTTATCTGGAGGTGCAGCAACAGCGGCAGCGATGAGAAGGAAGGGGTTAATGACTGTGAAATGTGCTGCTGTCTGCATGGCTTTGGGCCTTGTTTTTGTTATAATACCTACACTGCTGTGGTTAGACACACTACTGAGTTTTTAAGGGATAATTTCCCTGGGCAAAGCAAGGGAGGCTGATGTCTGTGAGCATCCTATTGCAGGTAAATGGGATCTGCAGAGGGGAATGGTGCTCAAAAATGGCAGCAGCTTTCCAAGATGACCTTGCTGACTCAGAGCGTGGCAGGAGGGGCAATAACTTTGGGAATTTGTTGGGTCTCGTTGCAGTAAGTATTAGGATGGGTTTATTGCCAGGGAAACCCCAAAGAGCTTCTTTAAATGGATGTCATTCATAAATCAGGAGTCCCTCTCTGGGGCAGGAAGAAGGTTCTGCTGACAGAACTTCTTAAGATGCAAACAACACGAAGTGAAAAAAGGCAGAGCTGGGAATGAAGAATTCTTTGTGCAGTAGATGTCTCATGGTTGGCTTTGTTCATTTGTTGTATGTTCTAACTCTGCTACAGTTGCTCCTGTTGCACTGTTTCCATTTTGTGTTCTTTTGAAAACAGCAAACAGAGCCCCTGAATCTGGAACATCTGTGTGCTGGCAGGCTGGAGCTGTGATGAAACAGCACAAAGGATGTTTCCATGATGATGTTACCTAACAGAAAAGCTGAAATTAGAACATTTGTGCTGTAACTCTCTGCAAGAAGGTTCAGATGAAAAAAATAATGATGAGTTTGATGCCCATGTAAGCAGTTGAGCTGATGATGCTGTACTCTGCCTTCTGTGATGGCACAATTTGCTCACAGCCAGGCTGGTAGGAGAGCAGCCTGGAAATCTGTCCAGGTGTTCTTTGAGGTGTGTTTTCCTAGAATACATATTTTCTTTGGTGATTTCTTATTACCATGGGGAAATGTATCAGTTTTGACAGAAGGGGAAATGTATCAGTTTTGACAGAACTGCTTCTCTAATGACATTATCATGAGCTAGGAATATTCCTAGGTTTATTTTTGATCCTGACACTTTCCATTTGAGATTCTAATTATATACATATTTATTTACATATTTATTTTAATGCTTTTAAGTAGTAAAAAATTGTAACCCAAGGTATTGTTCGAGTAAACATGTAGGGCTTAATTAACTTAACTATTGAAGAGACAGGAAAGGTGGAATTTAGTTTTTTTCTGTCTTTTTTTCTGTCCATAGTTATTTCTGGAATTTCCAGTTCCTCAGAACTACAATAGGAATGTTTGTGTTAATGAGCACTAAAAGGTTGCATCTCTGTTCTGCACTCTGTGTCACGATAATCTTGAGGAAGTTATGACTTGGATGGATAAATATTCCAGAGGAAAAATGAAATTAAGTGTAAACTGTTTTCATGAAAACATATATCAGATAACATTTGGAACCAGTATAATGCAGTTTCATCATAATTGTGCAGCTTTAAACAATTGAAATAATTTTTTAAATAAAACAAGTCATTCTAGGATGAAGGTTTCATATGATACAATTCAGCCTGGCATTCATTTTATACATTGTAAGAACTACTTGATCATCAGCAATGTTTGGTCTCTGGATTTCTGTAACCATTACACAGTAAAGGATGCTGGGCACTG